TATATATAATTATTATATGAGAATTAATTTTGTTTTTGTGTCATTGATTATGGCTCTGGATCGTGTTCGGGCACTCTGGTCATGCTTTGAACTATCTTCGTTGTAATCATGCCCTAATTTCGAGAGATTTGGTGACATTATTGTAAAGACTGCTTAAAAAATCATTTGAATTGTCGGTGAACTAGTATAATAAATGTAACATACGATTTTTTTTAACCTTCAATTCCTAATTGGTTCTGAAAGTTATCATTACATTCCTTACTTATCTTTGTAGCCAAGATGTGATGGACGTTACTCTTTTATCATCAGTTGTTCGAGCGGTAAACCATGCATCAAATGATGTAAAATGTACAGCTGCTTTAGGTGTGCATCATATTGCATCGAGGAAACTCTCAATGACTGAGATGAAGGTTCACTACATGATTGATTTGCAACTTCTGTCATTTTCATTTATTTTGTGCAAAATAATTAATAGAATAAATCATATGTTTCTTGTTATTTTCATATTATGGTCCCAATGATGTTAAATGGCATGAAGGAGAAAAACAATGCGGTACGTGCTGCTTGTCAGCAAACCCTTCTTGCCTTGTTCAAGCTTAGAAATCAAAAGTCTATTTATGAAGAATACTTGCAATTGGTAGAGGTACGTTGGGATTCTGTGATTCACTTGAATTTAAAGATATTAGTGACTGTAGTTTATAACATTAATTTTGGCTAAAAATATGCTGGCAAATAATAACCCTATACCTTTCATCCCCACTTTTACCGTCTTATGTGTTTTTGTATCAATAAAAAGTTTCAAATGTTCTGTTTTAAGGGTGCAGCTAGAAGTGTGCTTGTTGATGCTTACAGAACACTGCAGAGGGTTTCGGAACAACCAGATCCAGGACTAGAACCATTGTTAGATATTGCAAATGTGCCCTGACAAAGTATTCATGAAAACGAGATCCAGAATTAGAGTCATTATCATTTTTCGTCAAATTTGTGCTCTTGCTCAGCAGTTTTGTTTTGCGTACCAAAAATTTCTGTAGTTGGTATTTGATATAAAAATGTTTATTCCAGGAAATTAAGTACTTGATAACTTTTATGTTGTTCATATCATAAATGTTTTTGTTGTTTGTTACATCACTGTTTTCAAGTAATTACGTAATCAACCTGATCTAAACACATCGCATTAAAGATCTTAGTAATATGAAAATCACTTCTAATTTATTATAATTTGTATTTTGCTCACTTTATTTTATTTCAAGTATTGCAGTTACATTTGATAACCAGCCTTATTTCTATTTGTTTTTTTTTTCAGAACAATAGCAGGTAATTCATAGACATTAATAACTGTTACAATAAACGTAAAAAAGGAAATGCACTTGACCAGAAAATAAAGAAAATAATTAATTGGATGGGACCTGATGTTGTCAAGTAATTGCTGATATTTTCTGTTCTTTCGGCTCTATAAATTCAATCACTAGAAAGTAAGGAGTCTTACTGAAATATGACGTTTGCTAGCAGAGGCATATTTTTAATCTTTTAATTCGCGAAGGATATGCATGTAAGGTATGGGAGGTTAGCAGACGTATAGTAAGTATTATGCATTCTGCAAAAGATCTGAAGAGTCATTTCGTCAGTACAGTAATGAGGAAGTCGTTGGCTTGATATATTTTCCATTTCTTAGTAGTTCTTGTCATGGATCTTTACTCTTTCTACTTCGCCCTGAAAAGCAAGAAGTATAGTGGAATCGAGAATTGTTTAGTATAAGGCTACTTCACCAAAATAGTTCATAGAATTAGTGTGCAAATTTTTCATAATAGTTGACATTATCGATTACGAGTTTTAGATAGAAATTACTCTTTACTGTTGTAATTGTATTGAAAATCCATTTTTGAATACTTGAAGCACTCAAAAGTTTTGCGTTTCTTATAATTTACTATGAATCAATATTACTTGATGGGTTTTGACATTTGTGATCTTCTATCTGTGGACTGCTTTCTGATGAAGAAGGAGTGAGTGATTTGGCAGGCACACTGTCGTCAACGATTGCATCTGAAAGTTTCGCCTTTTAACATGAAAAATTTAGAACTGTATTCAAGTGATTTCATTCGCTATTGAATGAATATAGATGGTGAGTTGATGCTACCTATTTGCTTAGATTGCTTTTTCGAATGACTTGAAATAGGATTGCTGCTTTCCTGCAAAAGAAAAAATACTATTATTTTCTGACTGCTATGATAATTAGCTTGTTTTCAACTATCTAAATATTGTTGCTGTTTGAAGCAACGTACAATGTTGTTACTTTCTTGTCTGCCACACAAGAATTAGATGAAATGTACCAGGGTAGTAGTTCTGACTGTTTCATTTTTGCTCTTTTTCTGTACTCCCGAATGATCACTCAGTTTTGATGATTGCAGCCTATAATATCATTTTATTCAGATTAATCCTACCTACTACCATTTCCATATGGCAGTTATTTGCTAGTTTTAATTTTATACTGCTTAGTGAATGTAAATGAACTTGAAATATTCATATCTTAGGAAAGCAACCAGAAATGTGATAATAAACTCAAGTAACAATGATTAATTTTGTGTTATTATGAGTACAAGAAATTTTCACACTATAAAAAGAACAATATATTCCAAACTGATGTAATGCAAATGCAGATTACTGTGAACATGACCTTTCTTTGTTCCTGTTGAATTCTAATATTTTCTGAAAAGACAGTTCTGCTTGTTTGGACTATATAGACATACAATTAATGGAATTAAAAAATAGATTACTAATAATTATGACTAGAAAAGTGAATACCTTAAGTTTACTCTTCTTCGGTTTTTTCTTTTTGATTCGATGGAAAACTGGAAAGCGCGAGGCTTTTACACGTTTCCGTTTTGTATGTCTTGGCCTGGCTCGAATTTCCATTTTCTTATTTAGTAGATTAGCAAAAACGAAAGAAAGCATTGGGTAATTATTGCGTGAAGATTTGTTTTCTGACTTCTTGGCACGTTTGCGCCGTATTGCTCGATATGAGTTCAGTCCAGGCCTTTTAGTTTTCGAGTTATTTACACCCGAATTTCTACTACCAGATGAAGAGGCTTCTAAGGTGAAGTAATTTCTTACCAATCTCGAGGAAAGTCTTAGACTTCAATTGTAATATTATCGTGATTAATTTTGTTTTTTAACAGAATCAATTACTAATATATTATTGCTGCATTTTGTAGTTAGATACTCATTCCATACCTAAGCATAACATTGGATTCACTGATAAGTAATAATTAATCTGGCAATTTCAGTATGAAGAACATAACGGACCTTCATCGAGTTTCTTCTTAACTCGATGTCTCCTCGCTCTTTTCCTCTTCCGTTCGTGTTTTCTCTTAGTGCATGTATGTGAAGTCTGAAAATGAATACTCGTTGCATTTTGCAACTTTGAGATTTACCTTCTTTTTAAACTAAAACGGCCTAATGCGACAGAGTCCCTAGTTAGCACAAATATTACTACTAACCTAGACAGCACATAAATATTAAATTTGCACTATCATTCACGGGAGAATCGCAATCAATTTGTCATATTGGTACAAGCTTTCTTATATCCTAGTTTATCATATCAAGAAAATTAAAGCTTTACACCGTCGATTTAATATTAACCAGCGTAAAAAAATTTAATTAGACATAATATTTTGGCATGACAAGTAAACTCTGTTAGTGGATACCACATATCAACAGCAGTAATTAATGTTATAAGTGATACTAGCGAATTAGAATCTGAAACTCGTATTGCAAATCTTTAATGATGTAGATATATCGATACATGCACATCATAAAACTGCCAGTGCAAAGAATCCTCACAGTAGTAGTCATAAAATGGTATGACCCCGAGAAGGCTGCATGTAACTCGATTGTCTATAAAAATGATTGGTCGCGTCAAAATTAAACTCTATATACCTTATTCTTTATTGAATTAAATCCTTGTTTTTACTACGTCTGAGATTCTTCCAGAGAAGTTGACCTAAAATTAAGGCACTGTATATATTTCTCACTTTCCTTTACTCTTTAATTGCGTGCACATTATACAGCTACTTCATTAAACGTCAAGTTACAAGAGTATGCAAGAAAAAGTCACTTCACCAATATTAAATCAATGATACACAACCATTACGGATCTTATACCAGTGAACAAAATATTCATATTAACATTCTAGCCACTAGATTAAGTACACAGCTGTACAGAAATATAAAAGTGTAAGTAACCGCACGGGCTCTACTAGGACACGTTTTACTATGTGGCCAAGTAATGACGATTTGTTTTAAATGTGAAAAGTCAATCATATTTGTGGCATTGATCAACAATCGATGCATTTCCTGCTGGTAATTCTTTGTCATATCTCTCTTTTCTCCGTTAATGCGCAAGTACGCAAGATCAGCGCAGTATGGATAATACATGATATCGAGCACATCCAGTGTTGGAATTTCCAAGTCCTGCTGAAATCCACAAAACTTACCAAACTTTTTCTGCTGAATAGTCAATATTTGAGCCAGAGCAGTTGCATTAATTTCCGTCACTTACTGTCTTTTGTTTACTGCCAAAAAACTATGAGTGTTTTTACTGCATGGCTGTCTCTCTTTTAGTTGTCCATAACTACCGGTTGCACTGACTGTCAAAGCATCAAACAATTTACGTTATTTACGTTTACTACTATGGCAACAGTCAATTAATATTTAATGAAGTCCACCATTTGTAGTAATAGCAGAATCAATAAATTTGCTATTTAGTACTGTAGCTACAACCAGCGTACAAGTTATGACATACAGCTTCATGTTTTAACGAAATTGTCAGTTCGACAGCAGAAATATTTGCACGATAATTAAAAGCCCAGTGGTAAAAGTTTGACTTCTCAATGTTGTCTACTAATGATTCGCCGTCATCCCAGAATAATTTACCAATTGCTTTCGAATTATCTTCGTCATTATTTTCTGAAAAAGGAATATTATAAGAATCCAAGAATGCGCATGACTTATAACACTGGCTGCTTGTTGAATTAATACAAGTAATCCAATATGTACAACAAAAAAGAAAAAAATAAAGGTGTTAAAGAACTGAAATGAGAAAGCTGAAATTGAACTTTGTAATCAAAAATTGCTCAAGTATCACAATAGTAGAATTTGAGATTCAACTGAAGCAACTCTGTGATGGAGAAATATTTTTCGGCATTTTTCAATTCCTGAAAATAGAAGGAATTCAAGTAGTTATACCAGGTGCAATCAAGAGTTCAAAAGGATTCTTCCTTGATGCAGCAGTTGTCATTTCGGGTTTCTGTCGAGGTAAAATGAAGCCAGCTGTAACCTTATGAAATGGATTTGAACAGTGTTCATTCCAACAAATATATTCAAAGGAAGTAAAAAATGTGCAACTTATATTTAAAATGCGCTTTTTACATGGTGTAAGCATTTGTTTATGTTAAAGATAATAACCTCGAACGAATACTGGAATCATTTGACTGAGAGTTGCTGAGAAATCCTGCCAACCACTTTTAACTCTTTGTCCATATTCGAAATCGCGCAGTGAGTACCACTTTGCTTCTAACGGTAAATATCCTCGAACTGATATTGCTTTCTATAACCTGATCACCAAATAATCAATATTCTCAAGAAACGCGAACTACAGACTGTTTTTTGTAAATAAAATTTATTAATATAAACTATAATACGGTAATTTTCACAGCAGTAATTAAAATTTAAATTAGTACTGACAGAATAACTTAAAAAGTCTTCATAAGGTCAGTTGCCATGAACTGGAAATGAATTAGTTCAATCAAAAGTAAACTTTTCAAAACTTTTACTTCTTTCCTGTAAGTTGATTAATTGATGACCCTTTTATCTCTTTCACACCAAAATATATGCATGAATGTTAATAGTCAAGCACAAGAGCTCAATAAAACTTAATTTTAAATCCCTGCAAATATTTCCTCATAAACATGGACATTTTTACCTCGTAAGTAACAGGTATGTACATCATAGCACTACCCCACAACACCTGATAACCTAAATTATGCGTATTTTTGTCGTTAGGGAATTCGAAAAATACAGGCCGTGCCACTGTAGCTCCATTCAGTGAAGCTTGAAATACCAAACTAGAAAAGCGAATGTTTAAGCTTAACAATTTCATCGTTATAGTATTTGCACTAAGCAAAAATTTGGAATGATTGTGCAAAGTCGACAACTGCTTGATTTATAGTTGTATGAAAGATTACTAGTTCTCGCAGCCCAAAATCAAAATTTGTAGTTCAGTATAACATAAACTTAACGAATAGAGATAAGGAAGATAGTAGTATCTAAAAAGTAATGCTTTTCGAGCAGCATCTGCAACTTTTGGCCAAACTGCAGGGTCTTGTGGGATATTACCTTTGGCATTGTGATTTCTGCAATTTACACATGCAAAAAGAGAACGAGTCTTGACAACATTTCATTTTTAGATGGAAACTGAATTTTCTATAATACTTTCCATCGTTCATATTCTTTGCTTAACTTGAAAATTACTCCGATTCTTCTGCTAATCTCATGCTTACAAACCACACAAGCATTAGCTCTCTATTATCAAATTTTCAGTGTTTTTCATCCATTTCATCAATAATTTCATCTTTGAAGGCATAGCACTGACCGACAAAAAGGGTAAATTGCGCCAAGTTGATGCCAACGTAGACACAACTCCTCAGTAGTGTTATCAATAAAACCACAAATATCTGCACCAACAAATGGAAAACCAAACATATTAAATTCTTGAACACTTATTAATGAAATACGCATATCAGGCCATCTAGAGAAGTTATCCCCTAGCCACAGATTTCCATAACGTCCAGCAGAGACAAATGTTGACCTAAACATCTTTTTATTCTGCAATTAATCAAAATTTCCACATCATCTAAGTTACTCCTCTTTGTGTCAGAATAGGAAACACAGTAAATGTAATCGATTTAAATACTTATCACGCTACTTCTGATCCAATTAATTCACGGTTATTCACGTTTGCAGAGTAAAGTAAGCTAGGTAGGTCAACATTAATTGGTCAGTACTGAAGTAACATTTTCAATATGCTACCATTATATAGATGTGATTTGAATAAATTAAGTAGTCAGCATATCTTTTTTGATTTCTCATATAATCAAGGATTGTTAACCTTTCAAAGTTTAGTAATGAATAAAAATTAATTTGGTAGCCATCAAGCCGCTTGCGCAGTTAGTAATATTATTTTAAGATGTAATATCAGATTACCTGGATATCAGAGCACCTCTTTTTCCGACTGCTTTTCGAAGTGCTTCACTAGTTGCCTTCATTTGACTAATTCCATACAAATTCTTCGTGTCATAAAATCTGTTTTTTCGATTATTCGTTCTTGCATACATGCATAATGTGTTAGTGCATAGGTGCTAAATTAGTCTAGCATATAATAATTCATTAATTCATAAAACTAGTATTAATGTAACAGCTTCAATTAGATAGAAATCCATAAAGCAACCTATTCATCTAAACTTATTTCATCCGATATGTAACTAAGAAAATGATTAATGATTAAGAATGTTTAGTTGTGAATAGTTCCTTCAAATCTGAGCAGAATCTGCTCGTTAGTTTAGACATTCTGACTTTCTAGCATTTTTGAAACTAAGCATAAATTATCGTAAACCCTATACATAACAGTTTATTGAAGTATTTAGACAAAAGGATACTCATAGGATAAAAGAAACTGACAAATTTTATCTTCATAAATTAATGAGCTATAATTTAACAGAATGTAAAACAACCGTATCCGACCCATGCTGATAAATTCCCATTGTTTGATAGGGAACATTTTCCCATTCATTGCTTAAATTACACCATAATGGTTGGATCTTTGCGGGTCGATCTTTATCTTCAAAGTACCATGGTTTATCAACATTGGTACCAAATGCTGATGGCTCATTCATATCTATCCAAATGCCATCAAAAGGTATCTGTAATAACCTGAGTGTAAATATTTGATAAAAATATTACTAATTATCTTCTTTCAATGTTTTGGTTTCTGCAACTTGCCACAAACTGAATTTACAAATTTTTGAAAGATGAAACCTTTCTGTGGAATTGTTCGAATTCTTGAATCCACCATTTTACAGTAGTACCGTTGAAAAAGTCTGGAAATGCCACGTGCCAGTCAGGCCAAACAACGCCAAGTAATATCTTCAAATTTCCTCTTCATTACCATACAATTTAAATACGCACTAAACTTTTACTAATCACTTATGTTTCGCCTCCAGAGTTTGCGCAATTTTCCCAGACAAATTCCGTTCATTAGTTTTCATACCAGTTAAGTCTAATCTGCTCCTCTTTAAATTCCACATTCTCTCATATTTACTCCATGCTTCGCTTTTCTCTTATTTCTTCATGCCTCTGTTTGCTCGCTTTCTTTCAATGCCTTACCCCCTCTCCATTTCCAATAAAAACCAACACTTTCCTCGTAGCGATATGTGCTAGTTTGTATTTGAGCAGTATTTAAATTAATTACTCCTACTTCACATTTGTAAACTTGCTACTTCTGGATTGTATCCTTCATCTTTTTTAATTGAAACAGAATCATTACAGTCATCCTTATTGTAGGATTCCATGAGGGAATCAAGAATATTTTTTGAATTCAAAAATGTGGTTACGTATTATATGAATTTTTTCTGTCTAACTTTTGATTTGATCAGTAAAATAACTGACTAACGTTTGTATTCTCCACTAGAGGGTACATTTCTTGCACCGATTGGTTTTTCTGATTTTCATTTTCCCACTCAATGAAACCAGCATTCTGCATATTAATTATTGTATCAATATTGGAAATACATAGACAATTCCATTTGCGGTAAAGCTATCGAAATCTGTTGAAGAACTAGACATGGAATGGATAAAGTAATTTGTATATAAAGTTCAATCTTTTACGCTTTTTCAACATTAATGTGCACATTAGGTAATTTCGCAAATTCAGTACCATATTAATCGCATTCACGAAGGCTGTATTGTTTTGTGTTACTTGTATTCCGACATCGAAAATCAAGAATAAGTGAAGGCCATCTCGATGAAGTTCATCTGCATAATCACCCAGACCTTTCCATTTTTCCTGTACATTTATCACTTATATTTTCTCCTTTTTTTAATTTTCAGTATTTAGATTGTATTGTAACACGTAATCCATGAAAGAGATTGCAGTGACACTTATGATTGCTTAAATCATTTGATGCATACTGAGATGTGAATCTGTTCTGATTCAAATCGGGATTCTTGTCACCATATGTATTGATGTCTTATTTAAATTTGAACGTTTGATTTTAAATCCGATTTACTTTTCTTCCCATATACTTTTAAGAAATATACTTGCAAACAATGAAACTTTTTTCCATTCAGAGATATAACCTACAAAGTCATAAATTCTTGACGAGAGGTAAATTTATATCTTAAAAAACTTATAAATAAAAAAGCACAAAAAACTTATACTGATCAGATAAATTGATCCATTTTTATAATAAAATTTAATTCGAAAGATGTAGAGGTTAAAAATTGGTTTGAATATTATTCATGCTTGTATTGCAGAAGTTCAAAATATAAATTTATCTGCAGACTAGAAATGGATAATGATAGTAAATTAAAAGACTAGAATGATTTGCAATTTTAATAATTTAATATTATAATTGATGAACCTGTCCAGTGGTAAAATCCATGTATCGGTACATGAAGTCGATGTCAACATACGATACATCAAGTGGTATTCTTTCTTTCTTTATCCTGTTTACGACCGTTTTCATCTCTTCCAGCTTGCTATATCCCCAACGGCTGATCTAAATTCTCTTATTATTTTTCCACTCTGTAATTATTTTATTTCTTCCCATCATGTAAGTATTCGGATATGTTTTTCTTTCATCATTATTGTACTGCTAAAATTGTCACCAAAATGCTGTCCTAAAGTAACGTAAAATAGGTTAGAATGATCTACATTAGAGCCGTTGTTTCGGTCACACTCACGCATAGTCAGTAATGATTTCTGTTATCACATTTGACTAACCAATTTTATTTTATTTTGTGTTATAAAATAGCGAATAATTGTACGTTTTGTAGACAAAAACTGCTGGAAAGTAACAGCACAAATAAGAATATTTTCTACTTCTCTACGTCACGTTTAATTTGAAAAATTAAGATGATAGAAACAGAGCTGAAAAGAAGTTAAAATGATGTGGAAAAAAGAGGAAACCTGAAAACCAAGAGCGTAATACGCTGGTAGATAGGGTTTACCGGTAAAACTTAGGTACTGCTGGATGACATCTGCTGGTTTAGGCCCAGGGAAAAATGTAATGTCAAGCATGCCACCAATTGTTCGATAAATGAGATGAGGCGCAGGTCCGAGGGTCACTTCCTGCAATTTTCCTTCAGTACCTTCCATTTATCATTGTTCATTGTTTTTCACTTAAATAACAAGTTGGATATTCATATGTCACCTGTGCATTGCTATTCCAAAAAAGAACACCATGTGCCTTCCCATCATCTTCGAGAGCTAAATAAAATGGATGAACACCGTAGAGATTCCTCATTGGCACCTCGGCATCCACCGCGATATCTTTGGCAAACATACTCCATGTGGTGTACTTGGTCAAATTGTGCTACAAAATTGGTGGTTGATAAATGACACCAGTCAAGTTATTCTTATTGTAAAGACCAAGTATGTATTTTGTTGAGTTTGATATTAATCAAGAGCTAAAGCTGATATAGGCTTAAAAACTTGAACAACCTCAAAATTAACTTTTACGTAAATTACGTAAGAATGAGTGTATTTATTATCTTTAGTTCACTCTGGAATCAGTTATTTTTGACATAAATTAGTTAAAGAATATGTTTGCTTTCTTGACGTCTTGTAAGGACACGTGTACACCTACAAAAGCACATTTGTGTTGCTAGTATTCGATGTAAATGACTCAGTAAATATATTAATTCCAATAAATACTATTTGTTCACATCATTTGCCAAAATAAAGAAGCGTGCATAAATTAAACAAACCATCAGAGTGGAATGCGCATGCTGACCAAATCCGTAAATTTTTTCAGTGCACAAATAAGTTGCAATCTGTATGTATTTTGGTGCAAATAAAAGACCACCTAAAATGCGTACACAATTGAAATAAGAAATAGTGCACTGTTGAGATTTATAGGATATGATAAAATATGTCAAGAGCTAAATCTGTCGAGAAAGTGGATGGTATTTGGATCAGACGTAAAAATTTAACTCTCTGATTTATTTCAAATTGCTACTCAATCATCATGCAACTGTTTTTCATAAACGTGTTTGGAATCGTGTACTTATTGAATGCATTTAATTTATAAAATTAAGCAAGTAATTACCTACCTATGGATGTGTTCCAAATGGCAACCCCACTTGAATTTCTTATTACTTCGAAGAAAAAAATATTTTCGGATGTGGATTTGATGTTCATTACCAATACTTCTTTACTTCTTATGCCACGACGTGGAAGATCGATGAGGGGTTCATATCTAAAAAATAACATTCAAGCATCGTGTTAATCACACTTTCAGTGTTGTTTGTTAAATTTAAAGAAATTATTCATTTTGCATATTGTATTGCATACTTTTTATGGCTAGGCGTAATTTTAAGCCGTGATATCTGACCTTCGTTCATCACGTGTTGTGATGCGGATATTAAGCAGACTGCGGTAATTGGTTGTTTTGAAGTTTAATTGGGAGAAAGTTTTTCCATAAAAGTTCTTCACGGTTGCATTTGTCAGAAAAGCGTTTTTCTTCGTTACTTGCTTCAAGCAGTAACCAGTTTTTCGTGGGAAGTAACACGCTGGGATGAATAAATCTTCCTGATATGGGAAGAAAAAATTAAAAGGATAAGTTTTTAATGAATAAGCATTAAAGTCGTACTTGCAGTTGATCAGGTTATTACAAGCATTGTCAAGTTGAATGACTGGAAAGATTTGAAATACTATCATATTTTGATTCTTAAAAGTAAACACAATAAATATGTTAGTGATCGAAATTGCATGGCATATAGTGTTATTAATCAAACAGTTTGCTGTGTGTGGAGTGTAATGTATACTTTTGTAAGAATACTGTTTACTGCTTGAGTATCGATAATAGCACTGAGATGATAAAAAATAAACAAGCTACTAAAATTTTCACCGGGTAGCTTTTATCGTCCCAATTACAGCCAGTTACTTGTTCACAACTCTCTTTGCTAGCATTTGGTGATGGATGACAATCTATTCTGGAATCTGGCGCAACAAATTCTGCCTCTCTCCCAAGCACAGTACAGCTTTTGCATAATACAGTAAATAATATAGTTAACATTGAAATATGAGGAGAATACTTCAGCCAACTTTGGTATTTGAGTAACGAAATGTGAAGGGTTTACTAACGTTTCAATTGAATACAAGTAATGTTTCTGAAGTAGCATAAAATCTGATCATTGTGCAATCATTGCTTATTATTTTGAGAAAAAGATCAATGCATGTTTTTTTATACAAATTTCTGATTGAAATTTTCGCCTCAAAGTTCAATATTCAATCTTTTACAATATTTACAGATGAATAATCTTTGTTTTCTAAAAGGAATTCATTCATTCACAGCAAAAAAGCAGCAAAGATTTAACACACACTACATGGTAAAATTCGATGATAACAGCCCTACTTCTAGGAAATCATGAATATAAGAGTTTGAAAAAATAACTTCCATTTGTCCTTAATCGAATTTGACCTCAATATTAAATCGCAGTTGCACATTTTTGGCTTAAAAATTGATACGAAAGACTTTTTACGACAAATTCGGTTGTCATAAGTGGCAGCATTCTTACGGCTGTTTCTTCTGCTGCATCTGATATGATATGAAGTTATTCCTCAATCAGAATCTTTTTGTTCGGAGTACTTATCAATTTTTAGGAAAATAACAAGCCTTTTATCAGAATATTATTTCGTCTCATAATGATAAGCATTTCTGATTAAGATTGAAGGGTTGATAACGGCAAAAACAATGATTTATTAGTATTTACGGCTGTTTCTTTTGCTTCAAATGATATGACATGAAGTCATTTCTCATTCAGAACCTCTGAAAAAGTCTCATCAAACTCTGACTAACTAACTTCACATTTTGATCACAACAAAAAGTACTAATTTTGGATGATTATAGCTTAGCATAGAATTATTATGCAAAGTTTTCACTTTTTTGAAGACAAGTTTGAGTTTGTCGCTACTCCATGTGTGTGATGTGCAATTTATGAGTTCAGTCCGATAAAATATGAATTAAAAAAGTTACACTGAATTAAGTATAAAGGTTAAAATTGAATTAAACGGGAATTACTTTACCAAGTATTAAAAAAGTGCAGTACTTCAATATTTCTATTTTGTGCGTTTATTGCAATTTTCACATTTTCGGATCAAGTTAGCAACTTATTTAATTTCAAGTCTGAGACTATCTAACTTTACTTCTATTTTTTGCTTAATGAATATGGGAATCTACTTTATTAATTGTAATTATTTATATTAATATTATTTTTAAAGATTGCTTAAAATGATTACTACCTAAATTCGAAACACGTAACTTATTTGAGAAATACAAAGTAATACAATATTTTGTTCGTTAAGTAATTTAGATATAACATTTTATTATGTGCATAACATTTCACTAATTTTTAGACTGAATTAAAGATTTACTCAAGTTAAACTTTGCCGAAACTAAGCTTAAAATTGTTCGATTTCAAGATATTTTCATGCAAACAGTTCATACCAAAAACAAAAATTTTTTGTAAACTTTCGGCGGAAATTCGAAAATGACCCATTGAGAATCATAATCGTCAACGAAGTTAGCAGCTATTATTGTGATTGATTTGCGTTTCCTTGTTGAAAATTTGATTACCCTTACTTAGAAATGATTAAGACAGCTTAAAGCGGAATATAACTGCAAAAGTCACTTTGATTTCTGCAAACACCTTCAACGAATATTTATTTATTCAACAGAAGTAAGTAAAGAACAGAATTCAGACTACACTGAAAGGATCAAAAAAACTGAAATTTGTCTAAAAGTATTGAAAAATTTGAAGTAAAATTTAGAAATCTTCAAGTATCATCAGGAGAGCAGATGTAATCTGAGCGCGTGAAAAGTACAGAGACAAGAGTTGAAAGTAATGAAATTATTTTTAAAGTGAGGAATTAAAGAAGGAATTTTAAAAAAGTAACTGAAAAGGATATCTGAATCAGTTACGAGATGAAGGAAAAGTTGAAGTAAAGGATTTGTAAGGTCAAAGGTTGGAATGGAATGTGTTTCATAAATGACAAACTTTGATCATTTAATATCAATGCTTTTGATCAGCAAGTGCTGACTGCTCATTAAATTTGAATTTGATAAACTGATTAGTTAGCATTGACTGCATTCTGTAACTGCAAACAGTGAGTGAGAATGAAAATGGAATCATTGATGATGAGTTGTGATGTTGATAAGATAATCAGTACGAGTTTTCATTCTTTTCATCCAAATAACAAATAGGAATTACATTGTGCGATGAACGAAAAGTTAGATGTTGCGCGGATTGTTGAACTTTTCTTCGCGTTGATTTGAACGATAAATCGAATGGCAGTGCTGTGTTGACAAACTTCCAGCTGGTTTTAGGATGATAATTCGTTCGGATTTATTCATCCCGCACTTCTGCAACACAGTTATTTCTTTAATTAACAATATTCCTCTACTCTTCGAGGATTAACTAATGCATCCACAAGGCAACTTTTATTAATATTCACTTCAATTTCAAACATAACATCTATTCTTCAATTTATTGCCGTACTACTCACACATGTCTATCCTATTTTTATACAAAAATAGTCTTGAGAATAAAGTGTGTAAAAGTTTGGTAACGTTGGAGCTTGTTAGTACTCATTAGCGATTATTTAAATTTCAGTATGAATTTGGAAAGGAGTGTTTCTTTCTCTTAGGTATGAAGTATTTCTTGTGCACAACATTATGATTGCTTGAAAAATCATAATTAAATTAGCCGGCATTACTGCACACTTCTTGACCGCCCATTCTTGCCCCAATTCACTTCAGAAGGCAGTTCTATTCAGATTCTGAGGCATTCATTGCTTTTCTGAGCAATGTACTTAAAGCTGTTTCCTCGAACAGTCTCTTTTCAAATGACTTGCAATCTTACTGTCTGCTCTCAAAATTGTTCACATTTGCGCAATTATTGGAATTCAAAGAAATGAATTAACTTCTTCAGAATGATAAGTAGTCGTCGTTTTTCTATGAGCGCAAATTTAGTCTTTTCAACTTTTTAGCTCTTAAAGTAACTTTAAATTTTTGAAGTTGAAGCCATGCATATTTCTTGAGTAACAAATTTTTATACATTACTGCTTAATATATAAGTTATTGTAAGATGACCCAGCGTGATGGCCCTGTGGCCTAATGGACAAGGCATCTGACTTCTAATCAGGGGATTGCAGGTTCGAGTCCTGCCAGGGTCGGGCGAATGTTTCTCTGTGGTTATAAGTTACCGCAGGTTTTAGCACCTTTTAAGTCCTACAAAGTATGACTAGCATGGCATAGGTAGTCTGCTAACCCTCCTTTGATCCTGTAATTTAGGGTGGGAAGTGCCTTTCTTAATTAGCAAATTTTAATGATAAATTATAGAAATGGGAGTTAGGCGAAGCAGGATTTACAAGGTGTGGTAATTACATGGCTGCCCTTCTTGCTTTTTGTGTATGGTTCTGTGATTGAAAACAAAATAATTTCAGCAAATTTACCAAGTACAGTACTAGGTACGGTTTCTTGAGAAAAGCAGTACTTCAGAACCGAAATTATGTCAAGTAGAGATTGATGCTAGGCACTGGTGCAACAATCGTTTCATTTTTGCTATGTCTTTGTTTCTTCCTCTTGTTCTTTTTGTTGTTCATTAAATTCGTGGTGACCCTTTGACCCCTTTTCTCATCAACAATCCCTGACAGTTTCATTTTCTTCCTAATACTGAATTCTGTACCCTTTCTACATCGTTTTCACCAGCATCCATCCAGTGCATTTTTGCTCCTTCATTTACTTTATAAATTTTTGTGCACAGATAAATAAGTTACTTTCAATTGTTGGTATCACATTACTACCAGCAGTACTTTCACTTTTCCAAACCTCTCTTTTTAAAATTGCAAGCGAAATCAGTAACATGAAGGAAAATTCAATAATGTTTTGAAAGACTATCTCAAAACATTACTAATCAAATTTTTATAATAGTAATGATAATCATGATATCTTGCCCAGAAGGTCAAAATATAAACATTACGTATTCTGTGATTTCTTCCATTCTCATTAATGTATCTGTGTCATTTTTTGCCCAGAAATACAATTTTTCAAGTAAATTTTCTTACGAACTGTATGAAAAATCAGAAAACAAAAATGGATATTATTTGAATTTAAAAATTGCGCTATCGTTAAGCTGATTTATATTTGAGCAGAATAATTATGCAATTCAAGAAATGGAGCTGGCGTTGATTTCATTTACACGTGAATGATTATTTTGTCTTAACATTTTGAATTTAATCTGATTCATTACTCTTTCTTATACTGAGTAATTAAGATTGCAGCGGTATGTCAACTTTCTCCGTGCTTACGACATTTTTCGTTACGGTACTTGGAGATAGTCTAGTACTGTATTATCCTGTTTACCCAAACTTTGTAGTACCTAAACACCTACAAAACTTCGAGAGAAATGCTCCTCCCAGGTTAATTTTCAATAACATTTGTAAGTGCTCAAACGACGCAAATATTAATTCATGCCCTATTCAACCGTGTTTTTTAACATTGTATTTCAAAAACTAAGACCTAAAGTAAGCCCGAAAGTTATTCAAATATTGAATTATTTTTGATAAAATTATCAATTTTGAATATATTTTTAGAATTTTTCCCAGAGATCCTGATATACCCTCTTCTGGTATTGTATTTCTCAGAAAAGATCTTCCTGCAAAGTTTAAAATCAATAAAGGTATGAATGATAATACTTTAAACCAATCATTTTCTTAATGATTATGCGTGACATTTGACCCAAGAAAACCGAACTTACATAATTGCTTATATATGTTATTTTGGTTCACTTTTACCAGCTATTGCACCATTTTTTGTTATGAATATGGTTTTGTTTCTGAAAAATTTTTCAAAAATACAAAGAATTGAGCAGTGAAAAATTCATTGAATAATTTCTTCTCAATTTTGAGTATATATTTTTGTTGAAAATTAATGCGTTAAAGAAAGCGATTTGCTTATAACTCGCAAGCACAGACTTTGTATTGTTATTTTTGAGACTGAAAATTATTTCAGCTTGAAAATAATGAATGAAAAAATTTAATTAGCAATAGCGAAGTGATCTATTCGTTGCAGATAGGACATCCAACACTAATTCTGAAAAAGAAACCAATACGATTAAGAATGATACTTTCCTAACAAATAAGAAAGATACTGATGAAGCGAAATTCAGCATCAGTCAACAGATGAGCAGTACAGAAGGATCACTTCAAGAGGTTTAATTACAGTATTGATAGATGGATAAATGATCACTTGTGGAAATATAAACAGAGCCTGAGATTGATATAGTTCAATAAATGCTTTTGTGAGCAGTAGAAAATCTTTTTAGCTACCACACTCTTCTTTTCTAATTTTGGAGAATATTTTACTGTGAAATGGTACTAAATACTGTAACTGAAATAATTGCAGTTTATGAATTTTTCCGAGAAAGAAGCATTTTAATTGCAGAATACTTTGGTATCAAATGATGTAACAAGTGAAATCGATTACACTGAATATGACGCCAGTGAAGTAAGAATTACAAAAGTTGTGAACGTTTTTTGCAGTAATTTTTTATTTTTTTAAGTTTTGAAGTGATTAATTAGTTTAGGGCTCATCGAAAAGAGCAACGCAGTCAAGTACGACTAATAATATCATCGGTTCAGTGAAGATACAGGTATTCGAGAGCGAGCCAGAATATTTATTTGCACAACTCTCTACAATAAAATAATTTCAATAATTCAGTAAACAAACAAGTTGACACGAAAAACTCAGGGAATCAAAATTTTACCTTATACTCAAGTTTGGAATCTGGAATTCATTATTATTAAGTTATCTCAAGAAAGTAAGAAATGATGAATAGAACAAATATTATTTAATGATGAAAATAAACAAAGTTCAAGGCAGCAAACCACTAAGAAATTTTCTCGAACCTCAACAAAAGAAATATCCGAAGTTAGTTTCAGCAAAGATACGAACCGATTCCTTGGATGAAAAATTCCGATTCTGAAGGCACAAAATCCAATACAAGCAATCAATCGAAATTGAAGGAGAATACTAAAATAGGCATAATTCACTAATTTTTCTTATTATCTATGTGTTATTTGTTTATTATCTACTTAATTATTTATTTATGGAAAATACGAAAGTTTCTCAAAAAGCCCTTCATAATTATTCATTCATTCATGCAGTTGAGATTGCTGCTCATCCACTGATTCCACCAATTATTTAAATGAATTTGAATAGCATTTAATCATAATAGCAAAATGTGGATAGTACCATTGAGACTGAAATGAATTTAAATTATTCAATCACAATCGGTCATTGCCTCAATAGACTTTTAATATTTATTTCAGCGAACGAAATAATCATTTCTTTCTACTACTCTTCAATTTTCAGTTAATGAAGCAGCAATGTGGAGTTTGCCCATAAAAGTGTCTTCAACTGCACATCGCGCAAGCAGTGGACAACAGTTCTGGCTCAAAAGTCATATTAGAACTTTGACATTTGACCAATTCAGAAAACAAACAAGCACGTCACCAGAACCTCAAAAAGTCTACACATCCAAAACTTCTACTGTACCAAACAGAACAAAGCAATTAATAAAATTAGTTGACAGTGATGCTACCATTAAACCAGTGAAGCCTTTTTAAGCTCTAACAGCAAACCTTTGATACAAATCTATGCCAATTAACTATTTATTACTTACTTTTCAATAGTTATTTTAATCTTTTGTCTAAAATTTCTTCATCCAGTCTCATTCTTTTCCAGCAGTTCATCGATGATCAAAATGCTTTTGTCTTCTAAAATTTCTAGTCAGTTTCAGTTAATGTTTTACTAATATGCAAACTGTGAAATTCTTTCATAGAAGTCATGTTTCTTTCAACTTTTTCAGTCCTTCTCTTGCTAAGATTCTGAATATATAAAGCATTCTTATCACAAAGTATTTCGTGAGGCAATGTGGTACCAAGCATGAAAGATTTATTAAACAAGCTCAATATTTATTGATCACTTTTTAGGTCTTCGAGAATCGGATATCAATCTATTTGAGAAATTAATGAAGAAAGCACCAGAAAGTTAGTAAGTAATGAGAGAGCACATTTGCTATACGTTTATTTCTACCGTATCATTTCTTTTACAATGTTATAGCAGTGCAAACCGAACAAAAATTGCTAAAAAAGATAGGAATTTAAAAGGCACTGACAGCACTAAAAAATTTGCATCCAAAAACAAGCATTATTTATATTTGACTGAAATCAAAATCAAAAAGTACACACTGTAAAACTGTAGCAAATTGGCGCTTAATGAACTATTTCTACGCATTAAGGACAACAACCCATTAAAAATCAAATTATTTAACCAATGAATCAGAATATTCGAGCTTAAATTTCAGTGCCTGAGTTATTAATAAAAACTGATCTCTTACCATTAATTAAATCCATAAATTAATTAATGAAACTGATATGTTCAGCTGTTATAAAATTAGATTTTGAATAAGAACTGATTTCAGTTGAACTTATTTATGAAAATTTTCAAGAAATCTTCCCAAATTTTGGAAAAATTTCATAAAAAAGGAATAAAAAAGATAAATACTTCGATGCAAGTACAAAAGCATATCTGATAGACGCAAAAAATAAACGTCAAAAATAAGAAATAACATCATAACTGAGAGAATGACTGTGGTGCGTTGATCGGTTTCGATCTCTTTATTGAAGGCAAACGAATTCCATAATTTGCACCTGTATCGGAGTTGGAAGCTGTACTGTTGGAATTCCGTACACAGTCCAACGGTGTTATTGAGAGTGAACTAAGACTTTTATGATCGGTAGAATCGTGACGCGACATATATGGTGTAAATGATGAAGTTCTAGATTTGACAGTTCTTTGTGTAGAATTTATGCTTTGCTCGTTTTTTCTGAACAAAAGAATCTACACATATAAATTTTGCTAATTATTCAAAATTCAAAGTTAGTTTGCAAAAAATGTGAAAACTAACAAAACAATATAATGTAATTTTGTGAAATTCAAGCAATAAATCGTTATATAAATTGGAAGATTAAGTAAATATGAAATAAAACATCAGTACTATACTTATAATCCACGGAGATTTCTTCAACTGATGTGCTTCGGTGCACTGCTTTATATGAATTCTGCTCGTCATCCTCAACTTCTGAACAGTGCCAACTAATTCTCTGTAAACAAAAATACAAAAAAATTTTTTTTATTAGTCAAATAAAATTTATTTTCTTTTTATTTTATGATTAATTCTTACAAAGAAAATATTCATTAAGATCAATATTGATACCATGTTCACTGCATTTATTATTACCTCATGACATTGTTTTAATTTAAAATTTTCCTACAAACTGTAAGCCATGCAAGAAAAAAAAAACTATTTCAGTAGTTCGTACATGTTCCGATAGTGAAGGTGAACAATTACGCTTGACAGAATCAGATGAACAGTTCACTCTTACTGGTATCCGAACTTCGTCCCCTTTTCTAGCACGGCAAATTACCGTACTTGTAATCCTAGTCTCGGGAAATACAATAGCTGGTGGTGCACCAAACAGCGCTAATTCGGTAGTATTTTGAGAATGAAAGCTTGAAATGTCTTTATTAAAAACTACAATTAAATATATTCACAGGTGAGTATTTGGTAATGAGCTCTAGGTAAGTGTGATCCTTTAACTACTTACAAAACGTAATAAATTTTCACAGCCATAATTTTGGAATGCTCGGCATACGGCTTTATCTTGGTTATTTTGGGGTTTTCTGTCGTTAAAAACATTTTTAAAATCAAATGGCTACTCACTAGTTATTTGCTATATTTTACAAATAATTATGCCTTTTGGTATACGCAGTCATAACTAATTTGAATCTCAGAAATTAGAGTCAGTCAGTTTAAATTACAAAAATTCTACTTTGACTCTTCCTTGTCATGTAAAATTTGGAAATCATTTTCTCCAATGAATCGTTCGTGTGAATTTGCTGCATTTTTTTTTGCCCATTCATTGATCATTTCGACGACTGTCTCGTAACCAACATTATCCACTAAACTTGTATTTGGTCGATGAGCAGATACCATACGTGAAATCGGATCTGCTATCGACTAAACAGAAAATGAGAGAGTTAAAAAATATATATCGAAAATTAGATATATTATGGCAAACTGTTTTTAAAAATCATGAACGCGAAATTTACCCAATAATCTTGATCTTCTTTCTCAACATGCTTAGGACTCGACGCATTTTCTGTTTCATTATTTTTGTGTCGCCAACGACTGCAGTCGAATACTGATATTATAGGCTAGAAGCAAATTTTCACCTTATTGGTTAGCAGAGCTGTCAAATTTGGACTTTGTAATATTTTTTGGAATACTTTAGAATATTCACCTTAGGTGAATATATTCAACTACACAAAAACAAACCATATTATTTCTCCACGTCTCATACAATGTCCAACATATATTACATGGTATAACCACAAGTGGACCAACCATCATAAACCAACCAACCAATTCGTAACGTAATGGAATGGCCTGGTCCTCTAGAGTTAGACGTTGATAGCTGAATATCGAAGCGAAAAGTAAAAACTGAAATTTGGCATGTTGCAGATATTTAAATGTATTGGCAATATTTAAATGTATTGATTTACATGTAATGCAAGATCAAAATCAACAATGTTATGTAATACCAGGGGCCGCTATAAGTAAAATGACTTCAAGGACTACAGAGTAATCATCTAACAAGGCTTTTCAAATCTTGCTTCTACCTATATTCTCTAATTTTTACCTCGTATGATTGTTCAAATCATTTTACAAGAATTTTTAAATCTATGCAAAAAAATTTTGTGCGCTGAAAAAAGTTATGAAGTGACTGGACTTCATAGTAACAATCTTGAATGCACTAATAATTTTCAGTAGTAAGGAACCGTATTAGGAATCAAAGTCCGAAAGAACAATGAGTGGATGAACTTCGCAGATCTCTTCATATCATTATAATTCGCTTTCGACTTACCGCAAGAATACAAGGACTGCAAAATGACCATGTCCAACGGATGTAACCACCAGTTGGACCAAAAAAAAATTTCAATCTATGCCATGTATTTTTTCGCTTAATGATTAGATTTTCTGATTTAAAATCTTCAAAATTCGTCGGAAAACGCAGCATTTCGCCAACATCCACAATAAAATTGTCTACACCTAAAGAATGGGTTATAGTTTTCTGATCCGTGAAACATGCAATCAAGTTATGATTGAGCTGAAATTTTAATATTTCTACATCTCACATGTACCTTAAATCTGCTTTTACACTCTGTTACCACTTGAAAATCCCTTTTTAAAATTGATCACTGCAAAAATTTTAAGAAAAAAGCAACTGTTTGCCTCTTAAATAATAGGTTCAATACATAATACAAAATTACCATAAATATAGCAGATGACAATAATTTGCAATAAACTGATTGAAAATGAATTCCAATTGGCGTTTAAGTTCTCGATAGAATGAAAAATGTATATACCTCCCTACGAAAAATTTTAATGCAAAATTACATCGAAGAAAAAAATCTAATTTGAATTAAAGTCTCTTATTTTGCAAAAAGAAAAACCTGATGTATTTTATTAAGCTAATTGCAAAAACAGAATAAAATGATTGTAAAATTGGTAATTGTTCGAAGAAGATAAAAATAAAATGAATTTACTCTGGTAGTAAGTGGTAAACCACAAATAAAACATATAATACACAAGCCAACTACTAGACGGGTCTCCGTTCGTTTGTCGATTTTGTCTAATTTATTCATAATTGATGAAACAATCATTTCTATCCTTTAACACATGCAGTGCGCAGAAATAAATCTCGAAAACTACAACTGTTGAATGAAAGTTACATTCTTGAGCAGTAACTTTGTACTAGTTGTTTGAAAAAGTTTTCGATAATAAACAAACTTGTTTACAACTTTTTTCATAATTACTAACTGTGTTTACCACGCAAACTGAGCATCAACAGCTGAGAGCGTAAGCATAGAAAAAAACAGAGCAGCCCAAAGAGGTCCCATTACATCCATAAACGAAGTAACATCTGGATATATCGTGAAAGCAATATACAAAGGATCATGTTCTGCAATTGCATAACACCAAGTGTATTTTACTGAACAATAACTGTAAGTCATTTTCTGACAATAGCTTTTTAATCAAAAGTGTTACAATGCTTAATTCTCGCTTTTATGTTTGAAAAAAATGTGATTCGCCTACGTAAAATTTCATCAAGCGGTCGTTGTTGATTTTGTGCTATGAAACCAATGAAAGAAAATATCACCATAGCAGAAAGAATACTTGTGAAAGAGTTACTGAAACTTATCAATTAAATTTAATAAATAGTCCGAAGCAGAATATCTTCGAGAACGAGTTACATATTATGAGTATGCCAGGAGCTTTAGTGGTAATTTCAAATGAATAAATTTGAATATGTAATCAGTTTATTATCAATATCCATCATTAGTTCAAAGATTGTTGAGTCAAAACAACGTAGTTTGCTAATTGCAAATAAAACTTTTGCTAAAAAGATGAAGAAGATTGCAAGTTTATATACATTAAGACGACTGCGACAGCATCGCGGTAAATATTATTTCGGTATCTACTAAAGCTTGCCATGGATATCAAAGGGCCGGCATCAATGCCCAGTGAGTAAAATACTTGTTCTGCAGCTGCTTTCCATATCTGTAATGGAAAACTATCCACTACATAAATGATTCTATTCTTCACTTCTTTTAAATATGCTGACTACACCGTATTTTGTAGATATGAATCGTGAAATAATTCAACTGAAATAATAAAGAGTACATTGTAACGATTTTAAAACCGATAAACTCGGTAAGTATTAAATAATTCCACTTAAGTTAATCAAAACTTGTAAATGAGTTGAGTCAGTTTCTTTAGCAGTCAATATTAGCTGTTTTAGAACGACAAGAGATTTGTATACAAACACACAGTGTTTGACAGTGAATTTTTCCCTAAAGAAAATTTATACTAATAATTAAAATTAAAGAATGTATGAAATAATTGCACCGAATTTTCTATGAATACTTACTGGTATTGACCAAATTTTCCCAACGTCAGGCTTGAAAAGAAATGCTAGGCCTTGACTAGCTCCAGGCAATGATACACCACGCAATAAAAGAATTCCTAGCTGAAAATAATAAAATCAAAAAAGTTTTTGTAACCAAAAATGTTTCAGTGTTTCAGAATAATACAGAAATAACAAAAAATATACCAATAAGTAAGGCAAAGTTGATGTGACTGTGACAGCCCAACCAATCGAACCAATTCCATTGAAAACACCGAAAAATACCAAAATCCAAGCAAATGCTAATGAAAGCACTAAATGACTTTGTATTGGTCCTAAAGTTGGAGAAGTCATATTATCAGGTGTAATCGGTATATCAGTATTTGAGAAAGTTGCATTCCACATCGCTGTAGTCACATTTGCTATGGAAAACTGACTTTCTTGGAAAATAAGTGCCGTACGATTCAGTACTTCATAACTGAAAGTGTAAATTAGTGGTAGCATGATCAAAAATTATAGTAATTTGAAAGACTACGAATTTTTAAACAACTTGTAAAATCCATAGCAAAAACTTGCTGGAAATATGCTTCAGGGGAAGAAACTGCGTGCGGCTGCAAAAAACATTCAGGGGGTCCAGTTAACAAACAACAAGGTACATTTCTTGGCCAGTCTGTAATAAATTTTTTACAAGAGCATCTCGAATACAGAATGAAAAATAACCAAGAGTACCATGTTAATATAAATGGCATATAATAAAATACTTTTGTATCATTTTGTATGCTTTTTCATAAAACAAATGATTGTTGAAAAAATTAACTCAGACATTAAAAAATTTATCAGTAATACCTGGATTGCACTGACTCCAAGGTAGTTCTTTTATGAAAAAACCTTTTAATGAGAACCAAAAATAATAAATAGACCAAGCAACAATGATATTATAATAAATAGAAACTGGTATTGCAAGAATGACCAATGTCCATCCGATACCTATTTAACAAATATCAACTAACCGTTATGGATTGCAAGTACAAAATCTGAAGTAGGCAAAAATTGAAATTTAATTACTTTGAAACGAATTGCAAGGAGAAGCTTATACCTGATGCAATTGGCATGAGTTTCCAAAAAGCACCGCTTGCAGAAAGGCCTGAATACTGGCCTATGCAGAGATGCATAAACACAATTGGTAACCCAAGAAGAAACAAACAAATAAAATAAGATATTAAAAACACACCTGAAAATTTTCATTTGTGATTGTGCAATTTAATATTTGGAAGTAACAGTAATCATCAATGTCACTAGCATTTAAAAAAATGATTTTGCATAAATATCGAAATAAAATTAAAAAAACCTAATATTCAAAACATAAAAAGAGTTTAACGCTGCTATGTTGAAATGAGATACAGCGAAAATCAACGTGAAATAAGAATTATACATACTATTGAATGAGAAGAATTAAATTATGAACTAAAAGATAATGCTCACCTCCACCGTGCTCGTAAGCTAGTGAAGGAAATTTTAGTGTGTTCCCAACACCAACCATAAAACCAAGCAGCGATAAAAAAAATTCAAACTGAAAATGTCAACTAAATTTATTCAACTTTCAGAGTGCATTTTCAATTAGTGTAAAACATTTCTTGTGATCAATCTTAAATTGAGCACTGATAAAACTTGTTTAGAGTGAAAAAACTTCCTCTGTCTGAGTTGCTTTTCTTGAATAACCTGTTGTGCTCAATACAAAAACAATCAAAATACAAGTCAGATAAGCCCAAGTAAGAAGCAAAAAAAATACAATCTTCACGAAAGTGCGACCATAATCATTACTGAGAAAACTAAGCTCATTTTTTGAAACTCAAACTTTGTTTCTATCATTTTGTTAGTGAAAATATCAGTTATTGATTGCACCAATAAATGAAAAATTGAAAGCAATAAATTTTTATCACTGCTTCACTAAGGATTACTTCACATTTTTTCATATAAGTAAAAGCAGTATGACAAGTTTGACAATTACCTGAGTTTTCCATAAGTCGCGCACATCATTGCTGCTATCGTTGCTTTTTGTATTGCAAAGATAGAAAGGTACAGATCGACAATCCAATGTAAATTCCGGTGTAATATCTGAAGCATTCAACGTTACTTCTTTTTCATCATCAATGTCTGTCCCTTCTTCGTCCGCAAATGTTGTAAAGCGCATTGTAGTGGTCTGTAAAAATCAACAAATATTATTGATGGTAAACACTGAAAATTCAAATGGCAGTAAGTAGCACAGGCACAGTTAAGTTTATTTTGTAAATTCTAGCAACAAATAAAGATTATGCCAGGAAAATTGCGCAGTGTGCGTTATTTTACAAATAATGCTACGGAAATGTATTGTTTCTTCAAAAATTTCACCAACCGTTTTTTCTGGCATTACTTTATTTGTTTTCTGCCAATTTTGTTGATTAATAGATTCAATAGTAGGTGTATTTTGTTTTATAGAAGAAGTAATATATGTGCTATCAGTCATTGCAATGCTATCAAACGATGTTTCATACAGGATCGACACAGTCTGTACAAGTAAACAAGCTGCTTGCTGTGGTTCAGCGAAAACTAATGCTCGTAACTTGACTACAATATCATGCATTTCCTGAAAAAAAACACTTTTTATTTTATTCTTGAAATTTGTTTCATTTTAATTTCATATATAATAACATAATGTTGACTTTTATCTAACTTGCATCACTGATTTCTGTACACTAAATTCTACTTTACAGAACTTTAATTTTGCTCTTCACCGCTGCATGCATTTAAATCCAAAACTTCTGCGCGATGAAGACGAGAATCAAGTCTTTATATATTCAGATAAAAGAAAACCCCCTACAAATTTTGAATCACTACCTATACAAATCATACTAAAACTCACTCTTCTCATGTTTAAGAAACAGAATCAAAAAAAAGAAGTCAATAGTTAATTATACTTTTTATAAAAGTCTATTTATTAGGTACAGAAATAAACTTCATATTAGTCAAATTTTCAATGAACGTATGGATGAATACAGATGAATTTATTTTTACTTGGTATTTAAAAAGTGTGATATACTACAATACTCAACATGAAACTGCCATAAGCTAACTCATTTTCGCAGCAGATAAAGGAAGAATATGATTAGTGTTTTACCTCAGTCCGATCTTGCACCTGCGTATACTTTTTATGATTACTATTTCGACGAGCGGTTTCTTCGATTTCATTACGTGGAGCAGCCTGTCAGAATTAAAAATATTATCAAAATATTTGAATTTCGAATGATTACAAGCTAAACTCATCTCTCTCTTCTAATAGTTGCAATTCAGCATTACGTGAAAGAATTCCAGACGCTTCCCTTACTGCTACTTCACATTATTACAGCACAACACTTTACCTAATGAACTGGCAATCGTTAAAGAAAACCTGTTCCCACCCACTAAATTTCCTTCTTTATCTCTTCCCAACACCGCGTATTACTCTTTTGCTGCATCAATTCCATTCAAAGAAGCAAACAGATTTTTAATTCACGAATATCCACGCAATTAACACCCTCGCCCACGTTAGCCGATGTCCAGTACAAGAAGACTTTGTCCTTGCACTTCATTCTCTGCAAATACACAAACCCCTTACAAAATATACTATGAGAAATTGTCAGTTACTGAAATACATAATCATACTATCTCTCAAATACTTAAAAAATAGCAGTGAGATTTTGTAGTATTGAGATCCACTCAATGTACCCAATTCACCATATCTGTGAAACTTCGTGAACATTGCACTAACCTAGCGTTCTTCACCACTCTCACACCTTCAAAGGATTACCTAATTTATACTCGTACTCCTGCTACAGACACAAATTATAAGAACACCTGATAAGTTCAATTAAGAACTAGTTTTCAAGTTAGAATCGCAGAACTGTTTTCCTATTGACTGAATTAAATTCTCATGCATCCAATTACTACTCTCCATGCATTAAAAACATGAATGAAATTATATGCCATTTATTAATAGACCATCTCTACACCATGCAATACAACATAACAAAATCGAGAAACAACAACAAAAGATAATATATAGCTTTTTTTATAATCTTCGATATTGATGTAAAATTGGATCTCATTGAAATAAATCACCAAATCCTAACTGTTTTCCAATGACACACATTCAAAATTCCAATCAGAGTTCACATAAAAACAGAATGAAGAAACAAGGCTTATGCGCTTCTAAAAGAGAGCTTTTGTTTCTTCCTGCTGATCCTTTCATGTTTACGCCGTTTATAATCTTCGATATTGTTGAATCCAGTCTTTCTTTCCAGTGGTAACTGGACAACTTCAAAAGAACCCAAGGAATTTTTCACACTTTCATCAATACCACTAACTAGTTCAAGCCTACTTCCACCCACTCTTCCCAAAGCAATTCCTGACCTGTAAATTAGTAAAGAATATACTCTAAATAAAAAACTACACCTTCTAACTTTTAAATCGATAATGCTTACGTAGCACTGATACCTATAATACCTACTGTATTTTACCGAAAATTACTTCGTAATAGCCCAAACGTTGATTTCATCTTCATCTACAGCGATATCGAATATGCACTCAGAACAAGTCATCTCTTCAAATTGGAAACTTTTATCTCTTTCGATAAAAGTAATGATTTGCACATTTGCACAAGACTGAAAAACCACAGCGAGCTTGATTATCTGAAAATATTTGCACTACGAAACAAAAACTTAAAAATACTTTTGAACATTTTAAGACGTAAAAATGGCTGATTTGAAATAGTCGATAAAAATTACTGCAAAAAGGTACTGATTTCAAAAACTTTCTAGGAGCTGGAAAATTAACGTTTTTCGGTTTACTTTTGTATTTTTCAATATTAGCTTTTTACAAAAAGATAATATTTTTCAATATTAGCTTTTTACAAAAAGATAATATTGAAAAAGAGAAATGGATTTTTTGAAGCTAAAATTTATATACCGTTTTTGGAAAAAACATATTTGAAAGATAAACTGAGTAATAAATTATTTGAAAGGAAAATGGCTGCTTTCACTTTAACAGAAAATACATTCAATCTATAAATACCTCTGAAGTAGAGCTAAGAAACATCTTACAGCAGAGAACTGATTTTTTCTCAAAGCAATTACACTGAGCAAGTTGTTCACCATTATCTATATTCCAAACTCTAAGAGTACCATCACCACCTAAAAAATATCTTTTATCACTTTGGAATAACTAAAGTGGATATGTTCGTAAGTATAGTTCAAAATAATTCAAAATAAGAAATGATCTAAAATAATTAATAGTTTTAAAGTTTACCTGCAGAAAAAACCAAACTGCCTTTGGAATTAATTGAATTCACATATGATGTATGTCCCAAGCAAAATTGATGGATAATATAGCATTGAGGATATCGAGAAATGCGAATTTTCTCATCACGATCAGCACTTATTAAGAATCTTCCTTCTTCCGATAAAACAATGTCTAGTACCATCGATACATGGCCCAACAAAAGTTCGCCTTCAGTTTTTTCCTCTAAAGACTGAACAAAATGATTTACAACATTACGTTCATAATTGTCAGAATCACCACCTCAGTCCAGAAAATTAAAACTAAAGTTAAATGAATAGAAAAATAAAGACAAAGAAACTAAATGAAAAAATTACCATCATCACTGACGTGGCAGACTGTATTTTTTTCGAAATTCATTTTTTCCAGATGGTACCGCCTGACATTACCTGAGCGATCAGATATAATTACAAACTTTTTTGAAGTATCAAAAATTATAGCTGTTGGTGCTTTAGAGAGTTGAGCTGGTGGACGCACTTCAATCCAGTCATTAAGAATATCATATATAAAACATTGTTTCGATGATGTCGCAACTGCGAACATAGTATTATCATAGCTTAATGCACTAGCTAAGATCTGCAAGCGAAAAAAGTCAGAAAAACTTAAGTTTACCAGAGTACTGCAGCAACTAAAAACTCAATTTTATCGCTACTATGTCTCAGAACGACAAGAAATGAAAAAGCTATTTACTTGATTATTGTCACTGTTTTTCACAGTTCTTGACAGATTATTGAAAGGCACAGAGATATTTCTGTGAAGCTTTATTTTTGTCACGTCACTATTGACCGAGCAAGAAAGCTCAAAAATATTTCTTCCTGAAGCAACATACAACCGATCCTTCCCGATGTGAATACGAGCCATGTCAGTAACTTAAATTTTCATCCTACAAAACGAATCCAACATTGATTTCATTAGAATTTCCAAAGTAAAATATTATGTCTAACAATTCTGAATACAAAAAAATCAATGAAATAATAGAAAACAGCAATTAAATTGTCGAAACACATTCTCAAAAAAATAACATGTATTCTGCAGTCGTTAGACAGTGAATTTAAGATAGCGAATAGCGACGAAGAAATTCAAAATGAGAGATTCTGATCTAATTTAGCGAATATTAATGATAATAAAGTCTTTAGCTTGCTGCTTATACTGCTAGAAACCGTTAACAGCGATCAAAACAAGCAATCTCAGCGTTGAAGAAAGAAGCTGGAGAGCCGGGCGAATTTCCATCCATAAAATGGTGTTATTTTCAAGACGAAATTATGAATGCAAGAAAAGCTAATGAACTACGTAGTTAGCTGAAAAGAAAAGGACAGAACTGAAGAGTGTGAAGAAAGGAAAGGAATTAAGTTCGAAAAAGGAAAGGAAAATCGCAGAATTTCGACTCAGATTTAAACTTGCTCGAAAATTTGCAAATTATATCAAAAATTTCTAATATTTCATGTACTTCGCAATCACATCGCAAATACTTTGTAGATTGAATTCGTCTTATAATAATAATTTGCTTGCAATACAGTTAAATGAAATATTTTTAGAACTGTCTACATCTCAACTCAGATAATCTGTGAGATATCTAGAAGGTCAGAAAGTGCCAAGAATCACTTAATCATCGCCAATCCTCGGAAAATTGATAAACAACGATAATTTCTTGAAAAGTGGAAAAGTGGCATAACTGGTGCTACCAGAGGATAGCACACTATGAAAATTATTTGACTCGCAAATGTAAGAAGCATTTTTAAAATCAGCTGCAGTAGGGAACAGAGTGACTGGGAGAGATGAAGTTTTCGAGTCTAAAATTATGCCAAGCAGTTAGCGAAGCGCTGCTAAAAGGACGTCGCAAAAGTTTTTTGCGAATTTATGGAAGTGTAATCATCATACAAACACTCTTTGTCATTTACATTGAGTAAGTTATGTTATTGTCATTTTAGTTAGTCAAATTACGTCTACACTTTTATTGTTTTGTGTTTTTGAAAAGTCTCGTAATAACGTAAACTTATTGCAAGACAAAGACTTCTTTCAGTTAAGATTAACTATTACTGTTTGTGTATTTATGCATATTAATACAATGCTTGTCTAGTTATTAGTACATCTTGAAATAGTTTTGATTCTGTGATTGCAGGATTTAATTATGCATTTTTTAGGATTCAGTCGTATAAAACTTTTCAGTTTTTCGTGATTTTAATTCTTACATTTTAAAGCATCTTAAGTTTTTGTTGCAGTGGTGATTTTTAGTTGTAAAAAGTACGATATTCCAACGACCTTTGAGGATAAGGTTTCCACTTTGTGTCATTTTATGAATCATAGAATGTATTTGTTCAATCAGAATTTAGTTGCTAATCTTTAAATTCTAGTTTTTAGTCTGTTTCAAACTTCATCTTTTTAAAAATAACAAGTGCTGCACTGAATACTTGTGCAGACTTTTATGCAAGTAATCATTATTATAGGTATTCTATAAATGTAGTGATTTTTAAAATGGATTCAGGGAATTCGCAATGCCAACTCCAGATATAATGTACGATATTCGCATGAAGTATTCTCAGGAATTTAGAGATTTCGCCCGGGGTAATATATATGGTATCAAAGATTTTCGTCGAATTGGTGACGAGCTAGGAAACAGTGCAAATTAAAGTAACGTAATGCAAGTATGTTGCTTGTGTTGAGTCAATATTGTAATTAGTCACTTGATGTCGTGTGTGAATTTTCTTCTTGTAATTTGTTATTTTTTTGATTGGATTAAGTTTAAGTCGTCAGCAAGAAAAAAATGAATAAATAACGTAACAAGGGATAAACGTTGAAATACATATGCGTTTTATCAAAGAACGAATATTTTTTTGTGCGAACTTTGTATAAAAAATTTATTGAGAAATATCAAGGCAGGAAAGAAGTTAGGAAGTTAGTTCAAAAACATTCATCAGTTTCAAAACCGTTGTCAAGGCCACGGGATGAATGCACTGAGTTTTTTTCACTTCATTGATTAAAGGAATTGTTATTAATGTATGTAATCAGAATATAATGATTGTTAATTGCGAAGAGTACAATATCAGAACGATATTTGAAGATGAGAATGCCAGAATCATTCGTGTGTGATCTTAAATTCAGTCATTGTTAATATTCAGTTCATGTTCTGATCAAGTTTGCCTCAACTCTTTATGATTTATTAAGACATTGTACTTTAAAACTTCATCGTTTCACAGTCTTTAATGCTATCATGGAATAATCATTTGATCAGTTATCTTTATTTACCAATAAAAAATACTGCTAATTAATGTTACATTTCTTAGTGTGTTGATATAATAATTATCACCCTTCTATTGCCTTAAACTTCATAAGTATGCAACGTGATCAAGGAAATCACAGAAATTAGGAATAAATGTAAGAATATTTTCAGTGTCATGCATGTAACATGTTTGGGATGTATTTCTGGCTTTTTGACCTTTACATGCACCTTAAACAGTAACTAGTTGTTGTGCTACATAGCTTACTTTCCTAATGGTTCTTACCTATGTGTGGGAATCTGTGTTGCCTTGCAATCGTATAGAGAAGGAGTAAGAGACTATAATTTTCATTATGGGCGAGGCAAAGAGAAGTGAGGTTGAAGTAGTGGCCGCCAGGCAGCTGTTGAGTTCCATACGTCTTTGTTTTTGTCCTAGGACAGGGATTAAACTGATATTCGTCTTTTTTATAAATACATTCTTGTGGGGTTGTGTGTGTATTGTAAGCAGAGGAGGTGGGGGATGTTTAGGCGTATTTCCCTTCCTTGGGTTGTATTGACTTTTCAGTCTTTATACTTTTTATTTTCTCATATAATTGCATTGTGTACATTACATGATTGTGTAATTCTACCGCAAAAGTTGCTTTCTTATTTTTGTATTTTCATTATTTCATTAGTTTCACTTTTAAGCTGTTTCATTGTTATGTATTTCACTGCAGCGGTTACTTCCTCAAGCTGAAAATTTTCCCTAAAACTTGAGTATATATAGACTACTTCTTGTCCGTAAATTTCTGATTAGCTTTACTTTCTCATTGATTGAGATTAATTATTATTGTGAAGATTCCGGAAATATTGTGTTAGTTGACTTCTGTTTGTTCGTGACTACATCGTCGTTAAATGTGTAAGTGTGAGCGCGTATGCGTTTGTTCGTTAAGAAATTTCCTTCTCTAAATAGAGCGATGAGAAGTATCGCTTTTGATAAATTCTACAGAAATGTACAATTAAGGTGTTCAGAACTGCGAGTACAAGAATTCGTCATACAAAATAGCAGAATGGCACCTCCTGGACAATCAAGTAGCCAACCTTTGCCATCCAAAGAACTCACGCTGTTTCGTAAAGTTGTTGTACGTTTTTCTAATCATTCGTAATTTTTTCGACAGTGAGCAAAAGCTTATGAAAGTATTTGAAACTAAATATAAGTAAATGGTTAATAATTGTTTCAAAAGAAATCGAATATTAACTATGCGAGTGATTTTATGTGCAAAATTTATTTTACATCACAAAAATGTCAAAGAGCAAGTGCATTTTTTTCTGCAATTTGTGTTTTGGATTAGTACAGAGAAATTTTTTGTTGAATTTCCAATCTTCACTTGGTCTCATTATAGAAACACTACGAGCACAAGCAGTACAAAAATGGCCTTCGCTGTGCTAAAATGATTCTTTCTAATCCACAATTTGCTGAACATGGAGGTTAGAATGATGCCTAATGTATTTCGAAATTGTTATTGTTAATAGTTACTTTTTATGGATTGTTATTTTTGCTTTAGAAAATTATAAAGTGCATGTTCAGAAACACTAGCGATGAAGGGTTTAATACTGAACTGTATGGGGAAGCATGAGGAAGCACAAGAATGCGTCAAGCGAGGTTTGAAGGTTAGCTTAAAAACATTGTATTGTAAGGTAATAATTTAGTTTCATTCTCTCATATTACAGTTTCAAAATATTTTGGCGTAAAGTAATGTTTGTAGGCTGATCTCCGATCTCATGTTTGTTGGCATGTCTTTGGTTTGGTGCAACGCAGTGAAAAAAAGTATGATGAGGCAATGAAAGCCTACAAACAAGCTCTTCGTTTAGATAATGATAATATGCAAATACTCAGGGATTTATCTTTATTACAGATTCAAATGCGAGATTTAGATGGATATCGTGTATGGTTTTATATTTTTCAATATATTGTTTGGTTGTATTTGCATAATTGATTTCACAAATATTACCACAAGCCACAATATATTTTTAATTTTCTAATGGTGCAATTATTTATAGTTCAAGATCATAGAAATTCAAAAATTTTTTAGAATGAGGTGTTCATTTCTTGGAATTTGCTAGGTTATAGAGCATATTCGTTGACTATTTGAATTTTCAAATTCTAATTCCTCATTCGACTTCTACTCAGATTTCATGCTTCAGATTATTTCTAACTAGAAGCAAGCTGCTGACATATATTATTAATGAAAATCAAATTTTTATAAAAAACCAGATTGCTATTTTCTATTACAAAAAATCATTTCTGCAAGTAATTTCAAAAAATATTTTTTCTAGGATTCACGTTATCGACTGCTTATGTTACGTCCTCAGCAGCGTATTGCGTGGATAGGTTATGCGACTGCATATCATCTCCTTAAAGATTATGATATGGCTTTAAAAATTGTCAACGAATTTTGTAATAGTAATAAAGTCGAAGTAATAATTCTTTTTTTTTTTTTTGATTTTATATCTAGAGATGTTTTTTATTTTTTGGTTTTTCTCATCATCAAAGTATTTTGTTGTTTAAAAAGTGTATATTACAGTATAAAAGACTTTGGTAGTGGTATAGATATAATGAGCAGATTATCAATTTTTTTATTGCCTTATTTTATCAGACTTTGGAATACAATTTCGAACGAAGCGAATTGATTTTGTATCAAAACATGATTCTCCGCGAATCTGGGCAACTAGATTTAGCGTTGAGTAAACTGGAAGAGAATGCTTCACAGATAGTTGATCGTGTTACATATATGGAAACTCGAGGTGGGTACTTGAGTCATAGTATTGTGCATTGCAACGTGAAAAATTTACCATGCCTCATTTCTTCTGCAATATTTTAGCTAGTCTTCTAATGGATTTAAATGAAAAATCAAAGGCAGAAACAGTTTATTGGAATTTGATCGACAGAAACCCAGAAAATATTATGTACTACAAACAAATCGAGAAGTGCAGAGGCCTTGGTATTAATTTTTTATTACAATAAAAAGTTATTTTCAAAATCGAACTGGTTTTTTTTGATGGTTTTGTAGAGGAGAATGACGTCGAAGAACGTTTTGAAGTCTATAAAAAAGCTCTATTGATGAAGCCTCGTGCTGCAACTCCGAAAAGAATTCCTCTCTATTTTCTTCAAGGTTTTTACTTTGTTTTGTTTCAAAAATTTTTCACCGTATAAGATCATATTCATTCTAGCGTTTCAAATCATTTAATTTGATTTCATTTAGGTGTCCAATTTGAAAGTTTGCTGCTAAATTATTTAATAGTTGGCCTTCGGAAAGGTGTGCCTTCGTTGTTCAAATATCTTATTCCTCTTTATTCTGATATCAGTAAGGTAAATTAAGCTTACTTCTTTCTTGTACGTAACATATAAGACATACTTTGATATTTTAAGAAATTTAGTGACGTTTTATGATGATTTCAGATGTAAGAAATGCTAACAAAATGATTGTTATAAGTGCTGAATTATTTTTAAAAAATTGTGTTTCATTTCTTCGTATCTCAACCTAAAAAATTTTGCAAATTTTTCTATGGTCTCTCTATTGTTTTTCCAAGTATCAGAATCTTCAAAATATTTTTAGACCAAAAATTTGCGCCACGACTGTCAAAACTGAATTTTATATCACCTAATCCTTGAGCCACATTGTGGTTTCTAATTTCAAATTTTTCAGGCACTGAGTTTAGTATAAGTTCTACTATACTGTTGTTGAATTTATTATAGCTCCAATCAGTTCTCTATAAGTTTACTGATAATACTAATTGTTCTCAAGTTTTAGGTTCACTTTTTAGAGCGTACACTTGTCGGTTTTGTACATCGATTAGAAGATAACGGGTATAAAGATGGTTCATTAGATGGTACGCTTTTCTCTTTCGTGCTGCAATTGCATTTTTCTGCAGGGATCAAGTGTTTGAAGATTTCTTGATACTTAAATTGTGTTTGAACTAAGATAGAAATTTTAGACAGTTTTCTTCCGGAATCACCAACAACAGTTTTGTGGTTGTATTATTTGTTAGCTCAGCACTATGATAAGTTGGGATCAGTTGAACAAGCTAATATCTATATCGACAGAGCAATAGAACATACACCAACATTGATAGAACTGTATATGATGAAAGCAAAAATATGCAAAGTCTGCTTTTATTTTTCAAAAGTTATCTAAGTTAAAATGTTTATATTAAAGAATTTTGGAAATACATCAGCATGATTTTTATTTTACTGATCATTCACTACATAATCGTTGCAGCACGCAGGTGATGCGCAAGAAGGTGCGAAATTGATGGAGGAAGCTCAGTCCTTGGATACTGCTGACAGATACATAAATAGTAAATGTGCTAAATACATGCTCAGAGCTGGGTTGATTAAAGAGGCCGAAAATATGTGTTCCAAATTCACAAGAGAAGGTGTTAATGCATCGACAAATTTAAATGAAATGCAGTGTATGTGGTATGAAATTGAATGTGCCAAAGCATATCAGCGAACAGGGAATTATGGAGAGTCCTTAAAAAAGTGTCACGAAATTGAAAGAGTTAGGTTTTTGTCAAATCTGGCTTTGCTGTTATGCTTAGAAACTTTTACTTCAAAATCTAAGTTTATGAAGATGGAACGAGTTCTTAAAAGTTAAAAAATTGTAAATTTCAAAAGTTGTGTGTAATCACTGAATTTCAGTATGTTTCAAACATTCTTAATTCTCATTTGTAGATAAAGTCTTTTTTTACTGCTTAACTGTTTAAATCTAATATCTTTATAGGTTTTTAAAAATAGTTTTTCAAAAAGCATGTTCATAGTTTTTGCATGTAAAAGAGCACTGTTACTATGTATTTCTAGCATTTCGTTGGAATTTTCGAAGATCAATTTGATTTTCACACCTACTGTGTTCGTAAAGCAACACTTTGCGCATATATTGGATTATTAAGATTGGAAGATGTTTTGCGTCGTCATAAGTTTTATTATGAAGCAGCCAAAATTGCAATCAGTGTATGTTTCTTTATAAACGTAATCTACTTTTTTATATTCGATTGCACAAGAAAGTATTTTTAGATATACCTTCGTATGTACGATCATCCCGATGAATTTAATTCCGAGAAACATAATGGTGAAGTGAATTTATCAGCTTCGGAGCTGAAAAAGTTGAAAAAAAAGCAAAAAAAGGAGAAAGCTAGGGAGGCTGTTGAAGCAACTGTCAAACAGAAACAAACAAATTCAAAAAAAGTGCGCGAAAATTATGTGCTTTGATAAGTTTTAAAGTTAAAGATTCAATTTTTACTCAAATATATTTCTTGAAAAGATAAGTTGTTGTATTAGTTCTACTTAAACTAATTAATTAATGCTTTTAACTTCGTCATTGTTCAAAGGATGTTTTCGAAGGAGAAAGCTTTTTTATTCTTGTTGCAGGTTTCAAATACATCTAGTCACAGGTTTTGAGTTCAAAAATAGATTGAAAGTCTCAAATACATATTACTGGAGCAAAAAGTCTACTTAACTGTGATTTTTAAACTACTAGTGAAGGACAGCAATGAATTTACTTTTCTCGATGACCATTGCTGCTGTGTAGGAACATTGTCTCGTATATTTGGCAGATGTTTCGTGGACAAAATTAAATGAATTAAAAATTTTCTTGTCTTGTATTGATGCTTATTCAACTTTAAATAGTTTCCAGGTTGATGTTGATGGGGATGGTTTCGTAGCAGAACCTCTTGATGCCGAAAAACTTCTAAAAGTAAATGACCCTTTGCAAGAAGCTAGCAAGTTTGTCCTGCCTCTTCTTCAATTGAATAGTGAACAGTTCGGTGCATACATATTGGGTTTTGAAGTTTACTACAGAAAAAAAAAGGTAGGTTTTTTCAAATTATCGATTGCTCCGATTAATATAATTATTGATTGCCAACAATAATTATATTAATCGGGGGAATTTTTTTTTGCTTGACATCTTAAGTAGATGCTTTTTATTTCTTATTTCAACAAATGGTGTGGTTACACTTCATGTTCATATTTTTTTGTCCTTGCATCATCGTTTCGAAGAATTTTTTCAAGTTTAATAGCAAGAAAAAAGAGTATGATATTGAAAATTTCTGATATAATTTTTATTTTCTTACTCTAATTGGGGTTTAGTGTATTAGTAAAGATCTGCTTTCAGATATTGCTGATGTTGCAGTGTTTGAACAAAGCAATCAAACTGGATGCATGCAATCCGAAATTGCATATTGTAGCTGCCAAATATTTACATTATTGTAAGTTTTACTTCACATTATTTCACTCTTATAAGATGTTGTTGTAAGTTTTTTGTCGTTAATAATTTATCATCATTCTCGAATATCTATTTGCTTTTTCATTTGAAAAAAAAATTCTTAATATGATAAAACGAAGGCATTTCGAGAAATGTTGTATGAAAATAAATAATGCTTAACTATCGTATTTTTCTTAATTAAATATTCTTACTTGTATGCATAAATTTTGTTATATCATTTCTTAGATCCATATGTTAGCCTATTTCTTACATATTTAGATAGTCAAGTGCAGCTAGAAGGAACAGTTAAAAAGTTAGTTGAAGAACTAACAGACATCATGTTTCCGGGGACCAGATCCGCTTTCGAATACAATGCTGTTTTCAGGGCCGCTAATATCACTTCATTTCCTCATCGTCTTGCTGGTATTTTTTTTAAATTTCATTACTAAAATGTTCTGGTGATTTAAACTTATTTGTTGGTTGACGGTGCTTTTATCATTAATAAGTCTGATTCTATGACCTTCGTCTTAGTAATGAAGAAGAACAGTAGATTTCAGGTCGTTATTTTTGTTTTATTGCTTTCAGCAGCCGAAATTGACATATTCTTGGATCCTAACTCTGCTGATACAACAAAGAACTGGTTATTACGCTCACTAGAAGATAACCGATTGAGTGGTGTGACTTTGAAGAATATTGAAGCATTTTACGGTGGGGTTTTATATGGCAATTATGGGAACTGGTCGACTGATGAGGTTTGTTTTTTGAAAGTGACTCAAGTATCGAAAGAATGTTTAGTATTTGGATGCTATGAATATGTCATTCAATTTGTTTTTATTGAGTAAAAGACATATGTACAAAATTTCGAAACTAAAAAATTACCTGGGGATTTGTGTTAATTGAAATATATTTATAGCTCTAAATGATTGCAGTTAGGAATTGTAGTTGAATCATTCATGTCAACAAACATATATTGATACCTTATTAGCTAAATTGGAAGTTTGCTCATTACTTCGTCGAATTTTTGAAGTCTTGTTCAAATTTCTTGTCTCAGGAGGAGTAAATTAGACACTTGTAGATGAAACAGTTAACGAGACGATGCCACCAACTTTTCAGTAGCGCAGCATTATTTGGCGGTGGCCTTGATTTAGCCCAGGAAAAGGAAAATAATAATGCTAAGCAGGTTTAGTAATATTTTAAGTGTAGTATCTTCTTGTATACCTAATAAATTGTTCTTTTTGGAAACCATGTCTTTTCCTATGCAGAATGATATTTTTCACGATGTGATTTTGTGGATATTGGTTTTTTAAAAAGATATTTAATTTGAAAGAATGACTACTGAGTCTTGACAGAGCATTTCGTTACATTTTTTGAGACGAAAAATTGTTGGGAATGTTTAGGTCGTATTTATCGTTTTTAGCACATTTTAGTCAGCGGCTGATTCTCATCCATACTTTCTGAAACAAGGTATGTTTGAGAATATTAAAATTTTTGTTCTTCGTAATGATTTGAGCTAGTATAGAGACTATTTTATCCTCATGTAATGTTGTGTAGGCATTAGTATTGTATTCGCTAGCTTCGTTTGTATTAATTGTGATTTATTTTCAAGTGATCTTCCACAGTTTTCTTATGTGAAGCTCGAGCTGTTAACTTTAGTATTAACATCACTTTACTCAGCTCAGTTCATTCATTTTTCCGTTTTTTTAAATATTTGTGAGATTTTTTACCGTAAACAATGTTGTAATTAACAGTTAACTAGAAATTTTTGAAATGATGGAAGATGATTCATTCGGTCCGGTGAATTTGATCTTGCAAACAAGTCATTGAGCATTGACAATGAAAAAAAAATATTTCATCAGAAAATTTTATATCATGCCTTAATTCCATTACCTCATTTTTACCCAAATTCTCTGTCTTAATGAAATCTTGAAGTCAGTGTCGAGGTTTCAGAAGTAAAATTGTTGGTAAAACTATCTTAGAACTTTTTATCTTGATATTATTTTAAGAGTTTCCTTTGAAAACTATAGCTCTTTTATAAATTTACTAATCTCTGAAAAGCAAGCACTACACGTTTTCTTGCTCCCTGTTGTTTAACTTTCATCTAATATTCATTCCTCAAAACATTGATTCAGTCATTCATGGATTTCCCCTGTGCTTTTTTTTTCGTCAACCTAAAGATTTTGAAAAGACAGCAACATTTCAATTTGCATATTTTGTGACTGCAGCGTGATGGATATTACCACCGGAATTTCGCACTCTTGTGAGGCGAATTAAAATTGTGCATACATCATTTCAAATTTATTTCCTTTGATGGACCACTATTCTCTTGATGTGTTACATTTTTTTATATTGCTAAAAAATTTGTGAAGTTGACTCGAGCATCAAATATTGAGCCCTATATGAATGATGCATTTCAATTAGCTTTTTTATACTACTATTTATGTGATTCCGTTCTTTGTTTATGAACTACGCATTTGCTCAAATATCTTTTTATGCTTGTTTAGTTGCACGTTTGAAAAAGATGAAAAACTACCATAGAATAAGTTAAATTAAGCACTTTTTAGATCATGGAGGTAAAAGACCCAAAAAATTTTCAAAAGCAGAAGCATTCATCCTGTATTCTAGTAATGTTACTCCTACGTGTATGACAAGCACTTACACCTGTTTTGATCGTTCTTTTTTATACTCTTATTCTCTCTTCGGAATTCATTTTTTACTGCGGTTTTCTACTCTTCGAAAATAGCGAAAATAACTAATCATTGAAATTGAGTGGAATAGTTATTTGAAACAGAATTTCCATATTAGAAATGCTAGCGCGCAAAAACTTAGATTTTAGCTAATTATATGTGTTAACAAATTTATCTGTGATAAAAAGTTTTATTGATACTTCATGGAGTAATTTAAATTTTTCAAGATATTTGCTTAAAAAGAGTTGGATTTTGTATATTATTAATTTGTTAGGGAAGAGAGATGTGAATTTGTTGAATTTGTTCATGTTATTCTAATCGAACTACTTTTATCAACCAAGAATATTTAATCCTAATTGTCTGATTTCTCATTGTTGCAAAGCACTTTGTATAATATTGCATGGACTGAAAAAATGTTCTATTGTACGTGGCATTGAAGTCAGTAAATCAGATAAGTATATTTGACTCAAATCAAAATTAAAGGGAGTAATTTTTGTTTGGTTGAATGTCGATTTACATACTGCTCTGTGTGCTCCGATATTAGAATGATTTCTTTGTAAAGTTGTAGTTTTGTTGAGTGTTGAAAAATTGTAGAAAAGCTTTTTGATTCAAATATTGAAGTTACTTATTTTTGCCGGTTTTCAGTCAGAGTTCTATGTAAGAGGGTGTGAGCAGCTTAATTTCAAGTTTTAGGTTCATTATATATGAAGGAAGCGATGACACTTGATTCTCTTGAGTCAGATGAAGATTTGGATATTGAAGGTTATTTTGCATTTCATTTTGTCAGATTCGTTTCCAGAAATACAGAGCACGAAATTTTGTATCAAACATTAAAGTTGAATGTATATATCACTATTCTCTAGATTGGGGTTGTATAAATCGTAGAAGTCTGATTTGAGTATTTATTATAAAGGTCCTTCATTCAGTTTTATGTCATTTCAGGTGAAGTAAACCATTCTGAACTTGCAACCTCAACGTCTGAATTTTACAAAGCTTTTGAAGTAAAGGATGTAAGCTATATACAGTTTTTATGAAATCCAGGATAGAAGTTCGTTGTTAAAGTAGTCGGTTAGCAAAATTGCTTTTATTTGAAGTAATTCATAATGTGTAACTTATAAGAAGGGTTTCATTTAAGTTGTAGAAAAAAAATATCATAATTGAGACGTTATAGGTACTAGGAAATGGATTGGCATCAACTGTACGGTTGTGTATTGAGAAAGGGACAGGTCTAGAATTTGCAGTGAAAATTGTTGACATTAGCACTGAGCGACAAACAGAAGCAGAAGCTCGTCAGTTGTATAATGAGACAATCAGTGAGGTTAATTTGTTACGACAACTTTCAGGACATCCCTCAATTAGTGAGTAAACTGTTCATTGATCTTCGAGTTTTCAAAATATAAATCTAACATATTTCGTAGGCAAATGCTGTTGAGTTTTTACTTTATATTTTATGATTCTTGCTTTTAATAAAACAAATATCAAAGGAAAACTCCTTTGAAATCCCTCAATTTTTTGTCAACTTTTTTTTGCTTCCGGTCTTTTTATGACCATGTGTCATATTTTCCAGAGAATGCTTATGTACATAAAATACTTGTAGAAGATGTGAAAGCATAATTTTCAGTTTCGTCATTGTTAAACAAATAATTTTTGGGGTAACGGTATTGGAAGCTTTACAGTTAAACTGCTTATTAGAATGAACTAATCAACTATTTATTTAATGCTTTTTTCAGTTAGTATCCATGATTTCTACGAAACACCAACGTTTTTGTTTGCTGTTTTTGAAATGTAGGTTTGACGTTTTCAAATAAGAAAATCAAAATTCATTAGTAGTATTTCTCAGAAAGATAGCACAAAGATAACTTATTGTCTAGTGACCATACTCAGTTTATAATAACTTGTTCAAATTTGCTACTTTAATATATTCAATGCATAAATGATTTCATTACCACAATTTTTGCCTCTTTTATATCAATGTCCCTTCTCTATTGATAAAGCTAGCAGTTTTTAAATCATATCATAACCAGCCTTTTACTTAGGGCTCCAAAAGGTGAACTGTTCGACGTTCTGAATAAATCGGTAACGGTCAGTGAGAAAAAAGCAAGACGCCTCATGCGGCAGCTTTTCGATGGTGTGTCTTACATGCACAGCAGGGATATTGTACATAGAGATCTGAAGGTTTTTTTTTGCTGGTGATTATCTTTCCCGTATCAACGGACATTATTTATAACATTAATATGAACCGTGCGATTGATTTTTCTTTCATGATTATTTTTGTTAATTCCTTCAATCGCATTTCAACAGTATTTCCCATTTTTATAGTTGGAAAATATTCTTTGTGTAGATGAAGAGAGAATTGTAATTAGCGATTTTGGTTTTGCCACTAAATTGAAACCAGATCAGAAGCTGAAAGGTAATTTTTGCAAATCTACATTTGGATGCCAAGTTTTTAAAAAATCTTCCCTTCTAAACTTGATACTTTAAATAAGTTGGTATATTTAAAATTCAGTGAGAATAATCCCATTTATATTAACTTGAAGCTGGTATTTTAGTTGCGTATTTTTAGAACTGCTAGGAACACCCGGTTATTTGGCTCCAGAAATGTTGCGATGTCAGATGTATGAAGATGCAGATGGATATAGTTTTGAAGTAGATAATTGGGCGTTAGGTGTCATTTTATACACCTTGTAAATTTTTGTATTTTAATGGTTCAGAATTTCAGCAAAGAGCAACTTATTTTCGTTCTAAAGAGAAATAAATTCTTTCATTATTATTTGACTTCTAGTTTTGATGAAAAGATGGCATAAGTCTTAGTAGTTCGTTTTCTTTAATTGATAGTACAAATATAAGAAATTAAAATGTCAAAAAATTTTCCATTAACTAGTGTCATTATTGTAGGCTTGCTGGTTGTGCACCCTTTTATCATCGACGACAGCTGATGATGCTTCGTATGATCCAAGAAGCAAGGTTTGAATTTCGAGCTGATCAGTGGTCCCAAATTACTTCCGATGCCAAAGATTTAGTTTGTTTTATTTCTTTTTGGTTGTTAGTGAAGAAGTTTTTCCTAAAGTATCTAATTTTCTAATCTCAAAAACCGATTTGGAAAGAATCAATTTTAGTAAATGGTTTTGTCATTTTATTAATTTTATGTACATGATTTTTTGGATTTTTGTAATAGTTAATACTGTAATTTACATGGTTGTTGGTTTTCAGATTAGTCAGTTGCTAGTTGTAGATGTTCAAAAACGGTTTACAGCAATTCAGTGTTTGCATCATCCTTGGATGAAAGTTGTTGCCGTTACGCCAACGGTGTTCTTTTTAATCTTTTACAAGTGTTAAAACTTCACGTAGAATTCTAAAAACCTCATTGTTTGGGAAGTTGAGCACAAATTTTTCGCAAAATATTAAAACTTAGAATTTCTCACAAAAACTGTTTTATAGAGGTGTTCGTTGTTCACTGCAATATTCCTAAAATTCCCAGAATTAATTAATCTCCAAATTTCATCAGATTATTTGAAAAGTTGAGTGTTTAGAATTAATAATGCTTGGTTCAAATATGTCTTTTTTCAGGTGAGTGTAAAAGAAAAAGAAATAGTTTTTGAAAAGCGAGATTATAAGAAACTTTGGAAATATGGCATTATCATAGTGAGATTTTTTGTGCGTTTGACGAATATCAAAACGTTGAAGTTGCTGGTCGATCGTTGTGCCTTAAGGAAACGTCCATTTCGTGATCGCGATGTAAAAACTTTTTTTTTCGTGCAAAAGTGATTTAGTTTAAGCATTACTGATTCCACATCAAGATTATCTTGATTCTTTTCGATACAATTTCATATGTTTTCTATGTCACTTTAGAACTTTGATTAGAGTACTGTTGTTGTTTCAAAAAAATGATTTCAGATTCGTCGGGAGTCAGAAGCTGCTGTGTTTGCAGTATATGGACACTGGGTTAATCGAGGGTTTTACTACTCTCGTGATATGTTATTTGCAAATAAACCTAGACCAAAATACAAAAAACTGGAAGTTGAAGTAATTTCGGCTTGAATACTATTTATCACAACGTTTATTGCATATTTCAAACAATTGGATGCATTGATATGAGAATGTAATGAGTGAAAACTTATTTATGTATTGTAGTTATAATCTTTCCAACAATATTTTACCTATTTAAACCATAATATAATTTTATATGACTTCACTGTATAGAAGTGTCGATTGCTTTCTGTGATTTTATGAAAATTTTGGAGGTTAATTAATTATGCCAAGATTTCCAATCTAAAATTATTACTAGTATGGAAAAAAAGAACATAATGTTACGAGCTAGCATAGATTCGTATATGATTTTCTTGATGGGTGAGAGCATTCACTGCATTGACTGGTGTTTACTGGTCACATTTCCATAACATTATATTGAAAGCATACTTTTAGGAATTTATATCAAAACAGTCTGCATACAGTCAAACTACAACGGCACTTTAGAAGGCTGTTTCGAGCTAGTTCGATGTGCAGTTCCGAGAAATCTGTCAGAAAACTCTTGTCTGACCTAAATTTATATTCTGCTAAGTGTGTTGAATAACTTTAAGGGATTTGAGAGAGTTGTCGATTCTATTGCTGTTGGAACAAGTCAGATCATTGCTTTACATTATTGGAGAACAAATTAAAAGGACGGATTTTTTCGAAATTGTGAGCAGAAGCGCACTTTTAAAATTCATTTACAGAATAAAGATTTTAGAGAAAAAATTAAGATGATATGATGGAAATACAATTAAACTTATTATCACAATATTTAATGTGTGATGAAATATGAGTGCACGAATTGACTTTCCGCATATTTTCTCTTTTTCTTGTAAATGCGTAACTTGCTAGCAAAGTCCAATGCATAGCTATGAAAAATTACCGGCGTAGCTAAGACAAAGCAAAACAAGATATTTTAGGACGAACCATTTTAAATCTAGCATTGGAGCAGAAGTTTATAAATTTTTATAAATAAGATAGTAGTAGCGAATTTTTTCGTAGCTGAAGAAGTGTCTGTCGTCCACTTTGAGATAGAAAGGCTTCTCTAGCATCTCATAATAAAGTTTTCGTAGAGTTATTTCTGAAGCATTTCCAAAAGTGTAACTTTCCGTAGATTATATTCAAAATGCAGTAATTTCTGCCAAAAGTTGCAGCATCAGTGAGTGTTTTTGCTGTCTGCTGAGCAGCAGTAAGGGTGCTAAGAGAGCTGAGTGAAACATTTTAGCGATTGGAACAGACAGAAATACCAACAAATTAGGAATTGTCTCCTCTGCTTGTTGTTTATTGTAATTATTACGCATCTCGAAGAATTTTAGACGCAGCAGTCTTGTGAAGCAATCTTTTTGTGCAATGACGAATGCATGTTTTTATCAGCTTATTAAGCTATAAATATCTAAGCGACTACAGTGCGATTGTGCATTATTATTCATATTTACAAGAAAGAAATTATAGAAATTTATGCATTTTTTGCAGAAAACAAAATGTATGATAATTTAAGAAAAAATTTATTTTTAGTTGTTACACAATTTAAATTAAATATACTGTTAAGGAGTACAAATTAAAGCGACTCAAGTTATATCCTGTTTACACGCTTTCAGAACAAAGTACAACTAAAATCCAAACTTCTTGTTTACTTTCATGAATAGCAAATTTGCTTAATTTTTAACAAAAGTCATAAGTAACATTGAGGAAAAATATTTAAACTTTCTTGAGTAATTTGAAGAGCATCGTTTTTGAGAATCTTCAATTGAGTAATTTGCATTGAGAATGAGTCAGTGCAAAATAATCACTGGTTAATATATTATTTAAGCAGGATCGTGCATAAGAATTATGTGAACGTTGACATTCGTCGTTTAGGTGATTTTTTGGGAGACTGCTGGTCGTTTGCAGGTTCTGAAGATGTAAAACCCAACCATTTTAAGATTCGATTCCTACCAGTAGACTCTCCACCTACGTAATCTACGCTTCTTCTTTTGTGTTTCACTGATTTCTTCACGAACTCTGCTGAGGCGCTTTTGCGAGGAACCTAATACATAGACTTATATTATTAGCATAAAGTTACGAATCACAACAATGGATATCTTTGGTTTGTTTCCTACTCATGCTATTTTTCAGATGGAACTAATTTTTTGTTAGATTCATATTTCTACTGTCAAGCTACTTTTGATTTATTATTAAGTAACGATTTGAAATCTTACCATTTGCATTATACTGTGGTTAAAAAATCTTGAAGTATAATCTTTGAATTGATCTTACAAGAAAAGTAAATGTTTTTCTTCAGTAATACCTTTTTTACTTCTTTACAAAATGAATTTTTCCGTAAAACAGTTGTGAGAAAATCTAGCTTGTAAGGGGAATGAATTTTTTGAGTGCTTACCGAAAGACTTTTGCGTGGATTATTTGATTCATGAATTGGTTCAAGATGTCGTGAAAGTGATGCTTGAATGGAGTGATTCCAGTCTTGTTTATTGTGCTTAGTTTCTTTGACTATTTCATGTAAAGCTTTCTCATCTTCCCTAAAAAACAAATTGGACGAAGGAAAATATCAAAATATTCAATAAATAAAATTATTTTGAGACTTTTTATCGAAGATGAAAAACAAAACATACATTCGAAGATGCGCCATTTTCTCCAGAAACTTGGCCTCGCCATCTCTATAAAAAGCACTACAGAAAGCAATGAGTATGTGAACGCTTCGAGCTTAATACTAATTAATTCCAGTTCTCGCACTCAAAACACTTGAATTCTATGCCATTTTCATTACATTTCCAAAAAATTTTATAGTTGATAATTTATAAAATGTATTATCAGTAAAAGTGAGTATACATTCATAAATACGTATGAATACAAATAGTGTACTCATAAGTTCAATTTTTCCTTCACAGAAATAAATTCTTATGGAACTTGAATCTAGTTATTTTAGCTGCATTTAGTTCATTAATTATTTGAGATAATTTAAAGTTTCGGGTCCATAAACTTTCCTAAATTTTAAAGTTCTTTAAAGTGATATTAAGAACGACAGAATCAAAACTTGCAATTTTAGTACTAATTTTGATAAAAGTAATCTCAACGCATTTGCTGAGATAATAATTAATTAAAATTGTCTATTTTTATGCAATATAATTCAAATAAGACAAAAGAATGTGCAATAAACTGACAACAATCTCAAACTGTAATGAATTGCGCATCTGAAGCTCATTAACATGAACAGTGCTAATTTAATCACTTATTCAAGATGAAAAGATCACTTCAAAATTTGAAAACTATGTGAATTCATTTTGAAGTATGCAGAATTATTCTAAAACTATGCTACAAAAAAATTAATGCCTTTATTCTAGAACTAATGCCTACTATATTAATTATGAATTACCGGACGAGTTAAAGAATAGTGATTAGAAACTAGTAAATCGATCAAGGACCGATAAAAGTGATAGTAATAAAATTGATTCAAACTTTCTTTAAAAAAGAGAATAATTTTTCTCAAACTTAACTTCTGTTAAACTGTTCTTTACTTTCTAACTTTAATTTCGTTCCATCGTTTTCTGCTTTTCAAGCAAATTCTATTACCAATAACTTTCTGCTTTAATTCACTTCCAGTTTTCTTAGTTTTTCACAATTCGGTTTTTTCATTATTCAATTCTTTTTTCAGTCCTAATATTTTGTTCATAAAAAATATTAGCTTTATCCGTACGTCCAAAAGTTGTGTAATCAATATACTTAATCGTTAACTTTTAACTTTTAGGCCATATGAAATAAATTGAAAAATAAAATTTTGCGATTATTTAGAAAAAAGAAGTGTTTAAGCTTACAATTTAAAAATTTATTGAATGGCTCAAACTATTTAAGGCAAGATTCATTACTGTTAAAAAAGGAACCGATCTTAAACTATTTAAAAAATATATAAATATAAACTAGAGAGTACT